CCTGCCTAGGCAGGAAACCCTATACCGTTTCAGGCAAATGGCTACCCAACATCTTCTTAAAGACTTCCAGTGTTGGGGCATTCACAACTTCTGGAGGCAAGCTGTTCCACTGATTAATTGTTCTAACTGTCAGGAAGTTTCTTCTCAGTTCTAAGTTGCTTCTCTCCTTGATTAGTTACCATCACACGAACCATTTAATGAGCTCCATCCCGCTCTGGGTTCCCCAGGCCCACTGGAAGAACCAAGTTTTCAGTGCCTTCCAGAACAGTATTGGAGTGAAGTTCTGGGGGAAGATTCAGCTTCTTTATAGAATTGTAGACTGGCGCTATATTTGCAGCTATGTGTGCCCACAAATGCTGTTTTAGAACTGAAGCAAAGCATTGCACAGTCATATTAGACAGGTTGGATACCAGATAGCTCACTTTGCAACAGTGAAGAAACAAAGGAAATTCTCCCCACCCAATTTTTTAAGATGCTGGGGTCTGCTCCCAAAGGTTGTTCTAATGTAAAGAAAAATAGTTCATTATTAAACACAATACTTGTCCTCAGTGTTAACTTTCCCCACTCTCATTTGGATACAAGGACTTCATCACAATGAACCAAACAAGAACAAATCAAGACTGGATTTTCATGAAGGCCCCAAATAATTTATCTGCTTTGTCCAAGATAAGACATATCTCTTCTGAGTATTCCACTTAGCCTCTGAATCTGCTCTTCAGCCAAACCCATTGCACATTCAGAAACACTTGTGGGGAGAAGTATTTCCAAAATATTCTTTAAACATAAGAGAAAGTTTCCTTGTACACGAGAAAACCAGAGATTAAGTATTTATAAAGTCTCCCCTTCTTCCAAATGATGGTGAATTATTTATTGGAGATTGAAGCCCCATGCTAACTTTCTCTCCAGGTTTGAAGATCTGACTAGAAAATGGCCTTTGGAAAGCTCACTGCATGTCTTTCGTATTGTGATATTTTACAATAGGATGTTTTCTTTCATAACCCTTCAATGTGTTTTCACCAAGAACATGCTGTCTTTCTCTCTTTTTGACCCCCTCCAGCCATTCCCACTTTGTCTGTGAAATAAGGGCATTCAGTAGCTATGGTCAGTATAATTTTAATCCTCTTTTGAAGTAAAGTTATGGCAGGATGCTGGTTATTACCATTTAAAATGCAAACTGAACGATCATTCTCTCTAGTATCTCTCAAGTCACTAAAAAGATTCCCACTTGCAAATAATTCTTGGCATATCTTTCAATAATTTCATAGTAGCACAGGATATTTTCATTCTTTTTGAGTAACCACCAGACAGATCTGTCAGTATCTTACAGAAGCAATTGCATTCGCAGAAACAATTTCACGCCACTGTCCAGTTTGTTTCTTCTTGCCCCAAGACATTTTTTACTATTAAACATGAGAAAAGCTGAAAAGCAGCACTACTGTTTATGTCTCTTCAACACATTTTCACCTATGTTCATAGTACTTCAGAGAAAATCTAAAACTACAGTATAGAACTAAATACTTGTTAAGATTTTTTGTGCACATTCACATGGTGAAGAATCCTAGGAAAGCTTTTTTATGCAAGATTCATTGACATTAATGGGAGCCTGATATCTTATAACTGGGAATTACAACAGCCTACTAGAAGTACAATGTGAATTGATGCAAACACCTAAGAGAATGAATGTATTAGCAAATCAAATGTTTTCTAGTAGAAACTCAGCTATATAACTTGTATAACTCAATATGCATCCACAGACATCCATGTGACTTTTTTTCTAACCCAATAATTCACAGGACAGTGGAATCTGACATTTTCAGATTCATTTTATTTGCATTTGGTGGTTTGCTGAAGGTTTTAAGAGGCAAGATCAATTTCTTAAGTGTTTCATTCATACCGTAACAGTTGGTTCCCATATTGAGAACATTCTGAAAGGCTGCTGTGTAAATAATCAGATACAAACAGCCCATTATCAGTGAAGAATGATACTTATTTGCCAGTTCATTAGAAGTTTATTAGAAGGGGGTGGGGCTTGAAGTCACAACAACACGACATGCAATCTTGATTATCATCAGGTTCTTGGTTCTAGGCTGTTCATGTTAGCTCGTCATTCTTCAACCGTTACGTTATGGCTCTGCGAAAGTATATTAATTCGCCAGACAGTTTCTGTTTTATCTGTGGTGAATATACAGTGTTGAAGCAATAGCAGAATATTGCAGACTTTGTTGGATCATGCCGACCTGAACAAATGGGGAAGAAGAAGAGATCTGAAGAAGACCCAGAAAAAGATCAAGA